AAAGGTGCACTATGGTGGAGGGTCTGCTGCCTGTTTTTTCTTCATGGAGATGTTATTGCTTTACCTGGAATGTTCCACAATATACCATTAAATGTAGCTATCCTGCATTTATTCAACTAATTTAAGTTGTTTTTATTGCTCAATGGAGCTTTGAAAAACAAGAATTCCTATACAGGCTCACATCTCCACAGAACCAATCTGTAACTTGTCCTATAGTGTTGTCATCTGCTTTTTCTGTTGTCTTCTGAGTGTTTAGGAGACAGCCCCAGGAATTCTGCTGTTCTTATTGCATCTGTCTGTGGAGATCCCACCTGGAGACCTGGCGGCACAGGCTTTGTGGGCATTAAACTCATCTATCCCCATGAAGACAAGTCTAATACCATACTATGGGACATTTCAGGCAAACCAATAACATCTCCATGAGCCAATACAGACAAATATTTTGTTTCTGTTGAATCTGCCAGAGTAAAACAATATATTTATAGTCATTAAATTTCTGTTAAGCAGAACGCTAAGCAGAAACAAGGCTATTTTACTATAAATGAAAACTTAAATTTGAAGCCATTATTTAGAAAATGAACCTTTTGTGAATGGAGCGAGTGAGATACATTCATTACAATGCCAATTCACTTCTTCCTAGACTGCTTATTTGACTGGAAAAACAATGAACCGAACACAATAAAACATACGCATTCTGTGTATTGATAATAAAAGCTCCACATACACAGCGTATTTCTCATAATTGTGATGTTGACTACACACCTTGTTTTTTAGCCTGTCCCATTTGTTCCCATGTCTCCTACCTAACATTGACACAGCCCTGACAGACAGAATTAGCCACTGTCAAGTATATTTCCTCTGTTTTACCTTCACAATAGCACCCACGCTCATTCTCGCTGACCTCTGCAACCAAGACACGCATCAATAGAATATTAGTCATAAGCCTACAAGCAAAACACGCAAAGATGTATGTCCACAAACTCTCATCTATTATTTTATATACCGGGTTAAACAGGGCACTCAAACATCTGCGGTCAGTAGTGAATGTTCATTTCAGTGAGAGTGAATCACTGGATCAACAGCCCCCATTGTTACCTATGCCTGTGTTTTTGATGGAGAGCAGCTGAGAGTCTGTTGCCGTGCTCATGATGGATTGTTTTAAAAGGGCAGCATATAGCATATTTATTCAATATTAATACTATTATTGTATGCCCATTATAAAATGTGATGTACATGCAAAGTACTAAACAAAGATATTAAGTTATGCATAATGGAGGCATGGTGGTCTATGGGTTGTGCCAGTGACAATAAAGTAGGCATGTCACAATAACAAATTCTGAAGTGCAATATATTACTAAAGGAAATATAGACGATAAACAATCATATTGAAACCAAACCATAAAGCAGAATTATTCCCAAAATTTATTCTAAATGTACAATACTGTTAAAAAACCATGAGTTGAAATAAATAAATGACAAAATGCAACAGATAAATAGTTAGTTTGTATCTATAATCATAGAAGAGTCACTGAAGTTCCTAATTCAAAACTCAGATCTTAACAGAAAAATAACAAAATATTTACCTCTAGTACTGAGAAAAAGTCCCCATGATAAATATTAACCCTTAAAAAGTATTGTTCCATCTATCATGTATTGAACAATAATTCGATATATATTCATTATCATGACAGGTCTACATTAAAAATGTAATTAGTTGCTCTGTGCAAGTCCACCATCTGCTTGTCTCCCTGGAGAGAAATGTCTTCTAGCCTAGAATGTTCCACAGTATGGAATCAAACTTATCTGTCTTTCATTTAATCCATTACAAATTGCAAAAGATACCTAAACAAACACACCCACCTCTCCACAGATCTGACATTGGCCTGAAAACATCACTTGCTTTTCTCCATGGACGCTGACAAGTTTGATGTAATAATGTAGGCCTGTAGATATACCAGGAGATTCTAGGCAAACCCATAACATCTCTATAGAGAGTAATTAGCGGACCCTTCACAAGAAAAGTTCCATAGAGCCCCTTTAAAGAATAGACCTTGTAAAGTATAACATAATGTCTAACTTAGTGAAGCAGCCCAAACATGTTCAAGGACGGTCACATTTTTTGTAACTTTAAATAGGAGAATTTAGTCGAGTGTTTTCACTTCAAAGCATTGTTGCCGCCTGGGTGTCTAGGGATCAAAACACATTTACATTTTTCTGTCACGACTCAAAATGTAAGCCTTTAAACATCGACAAACAACACTGGTGTTATAAGCAAAGAATAAAACAGACAATACCATTAAGACTTCTATTTAATCCCATAAGCACATAATTGGCATGTTATCACTGAGAATCATTGTTCATGGTTTTGTGGAGGATTGATGGTGTGTTCTTGACTGCAGACATGGCACAGGGGAATGGGGCAGACTGAGCGGATATGCCTAATTGGTGTGGCGGTGCTCCCTGCTACACTTGTCTTTCATTATTAAGAACAAAACAAATCGCTTTAGATGGCGACCACGCTGACAGTGATGGACATGTAGAATACACACTGCAGCAAAGCGTTACTGGGTTTATTATAAATGTGCATGTTTAACAAAATGTTGACAGGAAAGTGGCTGTACTTGTTTAAGGTCCAATGTGTATTCATTTTGGAACCAACTAAAGTTTTTTGTGGATTTGAGGTGACTGCTAATGTGGGTCATATTAATATCAATATAAATTTTATGGGATGTTTTAGTTTATTAGTTTAGTTTAGTTTAAACTAGTTTAGTTTATTTTATTTTTTATTGTTATCATTAATAATTAAAATGACACAAAAGCTAATGGTAAAACAGTAGCTTTCATCAAAACTATGCATCTATGAATATGGCAAAATCATTGTGGTGAATCAATATAGTACAAATGACATGGTCCAAAATCAGTGAGAGCTGCAGTGTCGTCTCTAAGGTGAGGTCGCCAATCAATATGAAACTATGATGGAAAAGAAAGTCTCCTGATTTACAAAGTTGACATTAGACTTGTCCATTCTTTCCCTGTCTGAGTAGTTCAACCATGGAGGCTGCCACTGTGGCTGATAGATTATGATTTAGCATTAGCGACCAACTGTCTGCTTTGTCACTATGTAAACTTCTTCTCGGAGAGGTCGATAGGAGGCTTGCCCACTAAGTAGCCATCCATCACACTGCTCTCTTGAGCTGTCAGCTAACGTTCCCTTTTGAAAGTTAAGTGTTGCCATTGAAACATTTGTTATTAAATAAATATGAAATAAATTCATCCCCTAGAAGCCAATAAAAAAGAAAGAAGTCTTTCTAATAGGCTATTTGCAACACTGCTTCAATTAAGATCAGATAATGCACGATTACATATAGTTTACATCCCACTTTTATCTTAAATTAAAATAAGCTCTAGTAGAGATGGTTCATGTTGGGAACACCCAAGAGAGGAATCTAAGATCTGTGTATTTTTGCATTTTAATGATGTTTAAATCTTGAATTTAACTGAGATTAGACCACTGTTCACTCCCTGGAGGTTAGGGATTTACTGAAGAAAAGCAGGATCTGTAACACAATAATTCACAGTAATAAATACAGTTTAAATGTACTGATCTAATTCACTCATTAAAGCAAACTATAAACTATGGAAAATACTATGTATGGGTTTTTATAATGAGGGTGAAAATCTTTGAGAAGGAAAAAAAAAAAAACGCTTTGAAAATGGCCAGTGGAAGCAATAACAATGTATTTGTTACACATATTATGAATGTTTAATTGGTATTTGACTCACAAATATACCACAATACAGTCAAAGATATAACTTATATGCCAAAATACATTTATTCTGCCTCGTATTTAAATGACTATACCTAAATATGGATTAGCATTTCATTCTACATAACAATATTGATTTTCTCACCTGCAGGTTTAATCTCAAATCACATTAAAATTCATTGAACAGTATCATACTGAAGCTGCAAAATGTGCTAAATATTGCATCTGGTTTGGCGTCTGACTCCAAATGAATGATTATTAATGTCTATTTAAAAAGCATATCTATATTTCTGGCCCTTTGCATGTGCATGTAAATGAGTGCTATCTATAATCTGTAGCTGTCAAAACGTGAGCCCAGTGCTTCATATGGATGGGACTGCATGTATGACCTGCTGTTTCCAGTGGCTATTACCGTAATGGCTTCCTCTGAGTTGACTGTTGAGACGAGATCATTAAAGGCACAGATATAAATCATGTTTAACACCTGTGAACTTTTCATTAATAACAAACTCAAGCTTAACACCAAGTGCAGCTTGTTCACGTGATTCAGGCTACTGTAAATAATAGATAACAGATGGAAATAAACACAGGAAAAGGTCATACATTGGAAATACAATTACAGATTTGGGGTTGTAGTGACTTTTGCATCACTTGAGAAGAAGATGGCTTTATTCCATGCATTCATATTCAATATGAATATATGATTATCAACAGAATTATAATTTTTCTGGGTGAGGCTAAGATCAATGTCTATCAATATGTTGCTATTTGTGGGTTGATGATGAAAAAGTGGTGAAAGAAAAAGTGCAAGTACAAGTTCAGAAAACTTGTGCATGAGGTTACATCAGTATTTGAAGTAAAATCACCTTTTTACATATTATTTTCATATTATTTTAACTACTAGAGCATAATAATAATAATAATAATAATCATCATCATCATCGTCATACTTTATGCACAGTACATGTATTGGATCAATAAATAATAAAAAGGAGTGACAATTTAAGAGTTATTTATTGCAATCTTCAAGAAGTTAAAGAAAAACTCGATTTAAAACTTTTTAAAATTTCAAAAGTTCACAGTTTAAAAATTGCACAACTAACTAATACACTACTAAATCCCTGGTAGTGTAGATGGACACATTCTGCTTCACTTAGTGCTATGCACAACAAAACAGCTCCCTCTATATTTTGTGTGTCTGTGCGTACTAAACAACTGAATGAACTGTGAATTAAGTGGCCACTTGCTACAACAAAGCGATCAGGTATTTGTAGTGAGTCTGTCTATATAGAGCAGATTTTTTTTTTTTAATGAAGCCACTGACGTCAACATCTCTAAAACAGACATAAACCACCTTTAAGTTTGATACACTACTAAACAGGTGCTTAAACGCCCACTCTTTGTCTGACAAGATGTTACTTTTTCACTGAGAGAGCCTCTGACTGTGAATGAGGTATTTTGTTTTGGTCATGTTCAGCAGTCAGGTATTGTTATAGTGTCAGTTTAGATTAGAATTAAAAAACTTCTCACAAAACAGATTCTTGTCGTATCTCAAAAGACCACCAGTAATTAAAAATCTATATGATGAAAGTAATATAATAAAAACTAAGAAATAATTTCAAACTTATTGGAGGCTATACTTGAGTTTTAGGCAGGGTGAGTTAGCTGGACACAGAAAATATATATGGAGGAACAATATTTCACAAATGTGTTAAATATAGGAGCAATTTAACCCCATACTCCCAGAGCACCCCCCACAGGACACCATGAGGGACACAGTCGAATGCCTTCTCCAGATCCACAAGTGGACTGGCTGGGCAATCTCCCATGAACCTTCGAGCACCCGAAGGAGAGTGTAGAGCTGGTCCACTGTTCCACGGCCAGGACGAAAACCACACTGCTCCTCCTGGATCTGAGGTTCGACTATCGGTCAGTCAGTCTACGTTACTACTCTCACCTATGGTCATGAGCACTGCGTAATGACCAAAAGGACAAGATTGTGGATACAAGTGGGAGGAGCTCGGAGTAGAGCCGCCGCTCCTCCATGTCGAGAGGAGCCAGCTGAGGTGGCTCGGGCATCTCTTCCGAATGCCTCATGGGCGTTTCCCCGGGGAGGTGTTCTGGGTATGTCCCACCGGAAGGAGGCCCCGGAGAAGACCCAGGACACACTGGAGGGACTTTGTCTCTCGGCTGGCCTGGGAATGCCGCAGGGTCCCCCCGGAGAAGCTGGAGGAAGTGAAGGAAGTCTGGGAGTCCCTGCTTAGACAGCTGCCCCTGCGACCTGGCCCCGGATAAGCGGAAGAAAAGGGATGGATGGATTAATGGAGGAGCAATTTAAGGGAAGGACCAGTTCAGTGTGTTCAGCTTCTCAGGATGGTGGTAAACCGGTATTACAGGAAGCACAGATAAAATGAGGTTCCGTGCCTATTTTTTTCTGTATTCATTCACTTATTTCTGACAATTAGTGGAGAGTTAAACAACTACACAATGTCATTATAACCTGGACACAAGAGAAATGGGCCATAAACATACACAGTGGGGTCCAAATGCTTCATAAAGTACATAATTCGAAGGCAGCTGTCAAAAGGTCAAAGCTGATAAGGAAAAGCCACCATTAGAACATGTAACAATGATGTGATCAGTAAATATTCTGAACAATAAAACATGGTACCATTAATAACTCCTCCTCTAACCTCAAGATGTTTCCTCTGAGAATCATTTACACACAAACTACTGCACACTGAGATCAGCTCCAGCTTGTAGTGCCTAAAACTAAGACCCACTTTTATTCTTTTGCTTTAGCACTGTGTGAGTTGTGTAGCCTTCTGTGTCTTTTATTTGTTTTATTGTTTATAAATAATGTATAAATGTTGTAAAATAATCATTCTGTAATTTGTTGTCATTGACCTTATTATTTCAATGGTCAAGAATGTAATTTACTTTACTTTATTTTTTAAATCTCCACTTGCAAGTATTGTATGAAATTAATATGCAGTATTTTATATGCATATCCTCCTGCTTTGAAGATAAATCTATTACTTTGAACAAGCTATAATGGCATCCTCTACCTCTCCTCGTGAGTCATGCTCGTTAGATTAGTTTTATGTCAATGTTTTTATTATGTTAGCGCCACCGATAATGCTGCTCTGTCAGCTTCACCCATCATTTGCTCTAAATGTTTTACAGATATCATGAAAATTTAACACAAAACACAAATTACATGCCAACTCGTGCACTGCTTAGGGCTGTGTCTTTGCTTTCACTTGAACATAAACACAAACAGACTCACTGAATGATATCTGGGTCCACACTAGGCCATACAGTTTGTGATTATCTAAATATATTTCTATGACAATCATTGAATATGCACACAATCTACATCTCCTATCTCCATCCTCTCGCCATCTGGTCCTACACTGACGAATGATACAAGTTGCTATATTTAAAAATGTCACCTTGCAATGACTTTCCCAAATCCAACAGTGATTTCAAATGTGAGTTTTGCATTGGAAACCCACCTCACATCTGCGGTGAATATCCACATAATCAAGTTGGCTGTCTCCTTGGGTTATACGTTTACAGGAGCTGTGCAATAACCTGTAAAAATAACATGGGTAAAAGTTAGCACAAAGCGGTAAAACAAATGATGCCAACCAGACCATGAGAAGAAATGACTTAATAGATCTAGACTTTTTGAGTCACTGGGAGGAAGTAACAAATCATACGCTATAGTGAAGTCTTTAGGCATATTTACTCAATTGTTGCTGGGTCAAAACCTGGGCTTTAACCTCATAAGTGGCTGACGTCAGAACAGAGAGTATGACTAAATCCAGTACACATTGTAATATTAATGACTATATATGCTTTATTTAATTTATACTATACCTACACTATCTACTATCTACTATCTCTGTTTTATTGGATAGGGCTGATGTAAGGGTGAGAGATGTTGAAAAGTGGGGAGAGACATTGTACAAAATATCAAAGGAATTTCACCATTGATGCAGATCTATTAGTCATATAGCTTAAACCATCATAAGAGGCTTTACAGTTAGTATCCAGTTCTATTAAGGTCTGTATTACATTACATTTGTATTATTGTACAGTCTTACACAGCTCCACACATTTTTACATAATTGTACATTACAATATTTTAGCAAAAGAGATTTACCCAGTTTTTGAATGGGGAACTACACCAAGTACATTCCTATGGTTCATGATGTAATTTCGTAAATAGTCAAAAATGTTATTGCAGTGTAAATGCTGTTATATTTGTCATTCATTCATGAGGAGGAAATGAGGAGTGATGTCAGCAGCTAATAATGCATGTTCCCAGGCAAATCACAGGAAAGCAATTTGACCAGATTGAATTAAGCAGCAGGCTAATTCTGTTAATCACATCTGAATATTGTTTCAGTAAAAATGTCACAGTCAAATTGTAATGATTGTCACGGGGTACAAGACCAAACCAAAGGCTGCCTAAACTGTTATTAAAGCCACTTCTTTGGGCCTTGGATCAACACAAAAATGGCACTGACTGCATTACTAATGCTTATTAGTAGGCCTGTCATGATAACAAATTTTACAGTACAATATATTACTATAGATAAATATCACAGTGAAGAATAATACTGAAATTACTTTATGCCACTGACACAAAGCAGGATAATCCCACTAAACCAATTTTGAAATATACAGTATAATTAAAAGGCATGAGCTCCAAGAAATAGTAGAACGAACTAATAATTTGCCATAAAAGTTACTTATTCAATCCTCTACTGTTTAACTCTTATCATATTATAACAAACAAAACAATAACATAAATATCCCCATTATTGCAAAACATGTGCACAAAATAAGTTGGCTGATTGTTTTTATATGTTACTTTTATTTTTTATTCAAAAGGTCAATGGCAAAAAAGAAAACAAATTTTACTTCCAGAACCTGAGAGGTGGGCAGGACTGATGAGCTTTAGTGCTTGGTAGGTTATCATGTGCAAACTCCTCATGACATCATATTGGCACAAAAGGACAACAATAAGCCTGTGATAAATGAGGGGCCCTCTTTCACATTGACTTGACTACATATTGTAAAGTCACACTTAATGGTAATAAAAGTTGCTAATGGCAGAACATTTAAAGCAGTGATAACTCTGCATGAGTGAACAGCAGCTGCAGAAACCTCTTGTAGACAAACATTATTTTCTATGGTGTATTTTGCAAGCGTTGAAGCCATATAAGACAGTCACGTAGGGCGGTCACAATGTCCCACCGTCTGCTCCGACTGGATAATTAAAGCACTAAAGCTATTTGAATATATTACCTTTATGCTATCAACCCTTCTTTAGGCAATAAACTATAACCTTTCTATATGTGGACAACAAAACATGCCTCATCTCAAACAGAGGAACACAGTTACATTATGGTCAAGTAAACGTCCTATGAGTGTACTTTCTGTGTCACTCGTAAGCCCTGCTAAGTAAAGAATCAGGAAAGGTGTTCACTGAAAAAGCAATACAAAGTCAAAATGTAACTCACAGCATGCAGGGGGTCACTTAAAATTTGCTGTAGCGACTGAAGGGAAAAAGTGAAAAGGATAAATATATGTATGTTTTAATGTGAGAATGCATATAGCAACTAGATCTTAACCATAAATCTTAACAAGCCGCCTGGTTATTATCAATTTGTGCTGACATACTTACAAAATAAGCCAAGCTACCATGCAATATTCATGTTGGCAGTGCAAAATATAAATATGAATGAGCATCTCATTACCTCACTAAGACCTCACCTCTCTTCTATTAATAGAAATCACATCTTAATTACCAGCTATGATATGCAAGTCCACACCAGGGAAGAGGATTACAGCTACATTTAAAGTTGGGGAGATTTCCTCTGTATAATGGGGTCCAGTGAGTCATTTGGTGTTTTGAAGTTAAATCTGTGAAGTCATAGATCAACATTGACTCCGGCTGTGCAAAGATCACTGTGTACTTCTGTCTCTGCTCTGAGCTAAAGAATGGCAGGATGCCTTAGCTCTCCCTGGCAAAACTACAGAACGCTTCACTTCTTATTCAAAATGCATACACATCCTACACATTTGAGTTACTGTACATTACTAGATACTAAGCCAGGAAATGCATTGCAAATTGTCATTCCCAGGCACGAAACATAATTGGACCACTTCAGTAACTAAGTAATTTATTGCAGCATGTGTAGCTGTAATGTGTTTTCTTAAAAAAGTTGAGTCTACCTATTCTCTTTGACACTTAATCCTACATTAATCTGAGAAATACTCTGCTTCAGGTTTAAAAACCTCTACCATTATAACCTCAATAACTAATTTTGATGTGAGCCAGACCAGATATTAAGGTTCCAGACTGACGTAAGGTGTGGTGGTACTTAAAAATGTAACTTAAGTAGTTGAATGAATCATGGTTTCATCTATGTGGTGTATGCAAATGTATCTGAATACTCCTGCCTTAGTGATGAACTGATTTACATGCAAAAACCTGAACCTACATATACCAGTGTGTCTAATTGCATGTAGCCTGTGATTCACTGCATTCTCTTTATATTAAGCAGATATACCGATATAAGTACCTTCCCAGATCTCCTCTGGTCAATGAGAGGAGGGTGGCTTCAGTATGGTGATGATGATGAACCCTGCCATGTGCTGAAGTGGACCTCCTCGTGTTGCTTTTAATTAATCCATGCTTAAAAAGCTCTTAGCTTTGAGGGTCCACCATCTATGGAAGCGCGGCCATGTGGCGATTTCCTGGGAGGAGCGAGAATGTCAGGTCTTCTGAGGGTATATGAGATACAGATAATGATTAAATTGGATTTATTGCTTTGTCTGGAATGTTCCACAACATAACATTAAACTTGTCTATCTAAGGAGACCATCAGGTGAGGCCACAAGACCAAGTTACATGCCAGTCCTGTGGATAGGGGACCCAGTTCACTGTAAACATGTTCTTCCAGGTACTTTTTAATTAGTTTAGTTTTTTGAACAGTTTAATGACATACTTTGGAAGATTCCAGACAAAGCAATAACATATCCATGGAGACAGGCAGGTGATGTACTGTACCCTCCTCCATAAAAAAGTTACATCGTGCACCTCAGTGGACTGTTGGTACCTCAAATCCAAACATTACTACTGCACTACTTGCCTTGCCTGAAGCAGGACATACAGTGGACAAAGGAACCACACTGATAAATACCTCAGCTACATTGTGTGGGAACAATAAATTATATAGTCTAAAAAAACCTCTGGCCATCACACAGTCACACAAAGATATTGAGAAAGTGAAGTATCTTGCCCAGGGAGACAACAACTACAGCCTCACACTGCAGGGCATCCACTTGGGCCTATATGTGCCACAGTTGCCCAAATAATTCCTATGAAATCCATGTTATATCCATACCCCATGCAGTACATTTGGACATTGGTTCCAAGCTATCTCAGTGGAATTGGAAATTATTTACAGAAGAGTATGACCATTAGTAGGTTACACTGTATTTGATCACTACTGTGACAGTCACAGAGGCAGTTGTGAGAGCTGTCAGTTCGATACACAGATCTACTAACATTCTCCAGTTGAGGGCAATTTCCCATATACTACAGTATAGCCTATTGAAAATGAAATTTCATTGTCAAAGCAAGACAATTCCCAGTTGTATCAAAGAATTTTCGCTTGAGTCTCTTCTACATGTTAGGCTGATTGGATGTTGAATGTATTAACTTAGGTCCTGGCTGACTCAAATCTCCAGACTGTCCCGGTTTCCCCAGCGGGACTGCGCACACCTGCTAGTGCTCCACAGAGCTTCAGATAGAGGCTCACAAGCATCAAGTCCTGCCCATCGAGTCCTGCCCATCCATCTGGCACCAGCTCCTCATCCCGGCTCATCGGGCCAAGAGCGCGCGGCCGTGCGTCCAACCAGGTCCTCTTCCTCGGTTCAGTTGAGATGAGTTGTTTGCTGCTTTAAATGAATGGGCGAGTGAATGGGAAATTGTCCCTCTATATGTGGTTAAGTCGAACATTAAAGTCTGCGTGCTCGCAAGCTCCTTAACACATAGGATTAAGAATGTTGTTTAGGCTGTCGAGTAGGTTTTTATAAGGCCAATAAGTTTTTGGAAATGGCTAAGTTTGATATGCGAGTACTCACTTTGAACCCTTTCAACCTGGAGTAAAAATGTAGCTCAACATTGAGGGTTGAGTTTGGTACAGACGCATTTTAAAAGCAGAAGTTCACCCTGTTTTCCTTTTCCCAGTAATACATGGAAACACAGCACCTCTCAGTGGAAAGGGGCTGAAATTGAACAAGCCGGAATTAATCAAATAAACAGTTACACTGCTACAACATTATTAGAATATACTTTTAAAAATATTTTCCCCAACATAGTTTAGTTGTTTCCTAACCTAATAGAAACTACAAAACAGTGGATAAGAAAACTTTTGCAGAACCGAGACTAACCTGAGAACAGCTACGTGAGTCTAATAATCTGATAAATGTTATGGAGGCATGGATCTGTACGACGGAGTATAAGGGTCAGATAAAAAACAAACAAACAAAAAAAAAACATGCTGGCGCTACGAGAATAAAGTCGTAACATTTTGACATTAAAGTCGTAATATTATGAGAATAAAGTCGAAGCCAGAAAAAGTCGTAATTTTACGAGAATAAAGTCGTAAACTTACAAGAATAAAGTAGTAATTTTATGAGAATAAAGTCGTAGTCAAAATAAAGTCATAATATTACGAGAATATCGGCTGCTCGGAAAGTATGAACGAGGGGAGAATGGAGAATTTGGAGCATTTTCTAAAAGAGAAAAATCCGTGTATCATTCGTTCATTCGACTGAACAAGGACTGAATCAGGACTAAATCAAGTCTGGAACCAAACCAGAAAGACCAGGATTGAGACCGGGACCAGACCAGGACTGAAAACGGTTTAATCCTAGTTTAGTCCTGGTTTAAGTCACGGAAATGGGAAATGGCGTTTACGTGACTTTAAAATGCGATGCGGGACTATTGCGCCGCATACGAACTGAACCAAGACTGAACCAGGACTAAACCGTTTTCAGTTCTTGTCTGATCCCGGTCTCAGTCTTGGTCCCTGACTCAGTCCTTGTCTAAGTTCTGGTCTCAGTCCCGGTCTGGTCTCGGACCTCGTTTAGTCCTGGTTTAGTCCTGGTTTAGTCCTGGTTCAGTCCGGAGGCGCAAATAATGAAGCAAATTGTTGTTCGTTTTCTTATTTTTAGTTTTATATTGAAAAACAAGGTTCTTCTTCTGCCGCATTTTTCACTTTGACTTTGATTTTATTACTTCATTCTCGTAATATTATAACTTTATTCTCATAATATTACGACTTTATTTTAACTTCGACTTTATTCTCGTAAAATTACGACTTTATTCTCATAATATTACGACTTTAATGTCGAAATGTTACGACTTTATTCTCGTAGCGCCAGCATTTTATTTTATTTTTTTATCTGACCCTTATACTCCGTCGTAGATCTGTAATAAGATCTTACGCTTCCATAGATGGAGAACGGTGCTCTGGTCGTGTTTGTACTGTGTATTTGTACTTGTGTGTCTCGTAGCTCCACTCCGATGCTTCGGGTGAAAGTTCCGCTTCTTTCTCCGCCTCATGTCGTTCCGCTTTTTGCTCGTCTGCGGACAACGAGTCCGATCTCACAGACATTTATTCAACAACTGAGCTCTTATGAGACAAAAGTACAAACCTCAGCTAAAAAGACTATTAAAAAGACATATATAGAAGATATATATATATATATATATATATATATAGAGAGAGAGAGAGAGAGAGAGAGAGAGAGAGAGAGAGAGAGAGATAGATAGATAGATAGATAAATATAGATAGAAAGATATGTGTGAATATCACAACATGTTTAACAAATGACATGACAGAAAAACCTACAGGTTACCATACCAGGTTACCATAGCAACCGGGTCTGGGTTAGCTGATCGGGGTAGGACAGGTTTATGACTTTTCAGAAAAAAAAAAAAAAAGACTTAAATAGCCTATCCCATAAAACAATCAAGTGAGACTTAGTAAAGAAAACCTTCATTCTGTCATTTTCAACTTATTTAAAAATAAGGGACTGAGGCTCAAAAGGGAAATCAAAGGCAATTTAAATTTATCTGAAATTTCAATAAATCACAAATCTGGTCACTGTCATTAAAAAGGACACCTGGTTTCCGGACAAAAAATTAAAAAAAAAAAAAAAAATATTCAAAATAAGCAATGTATTTTGTAAGCGGGGATTTCTGTTTCTGTTGTGTTTGAATATTTTGAATCCTGAGGTCTGGTTCTTGTATTCTTTCTCCAGCAGATGGCGTCACTGCTCTGGGCGACGTGGGGTACCTAGTTCTTAGGTTTTCCTCTATAAAACTCAATCAAAAGTCTAGAACAGCCATCAGGTTTCCCCACATTTCATAATTTTGTTTGACAAACCTGTTTTTTTTTTTTTTGTTTTTTTTTGTTTTTTCCCTTTCTAAATTCTACACATATTACACATTTTATTCAACATTACAATATTTACAGATTTACAGAATAGTTTACAGATGTACTTTTTATTCTATCAGCAGGAGGCATTTTGGTAATGACTCACTAAATCAAACCTATAAATATAACTTTAAAGCTACAAGATAAAAAACAGATTTAAATTGGTACAGTCAATATAATAAAGTGCATATGGCATGTTAACAATTATATTTATGAAGATTTCTAATTTTATTTCCTGGTTGAACACCAGCAGGACAGGACAGGACAGCAGATACAGAGCCAATTTCATAACTTTTACTTTGCAACCATACTGTGAAAAAGGGGCATGTTTAAAATTACTCAATAGTTCAATTATCCCTACATTTGAAAGTTTTAATAACAGACATATTCCTTTTTAGAACCACTACATCCTTTATTTTTGTGCTTTTCTTTTCAACTTTTGTCCAGAAACTAACACAAAACTGATGTAAAACTGTGATAAATATTCACCACAAGTAAATATCACCAAACCAAGTAAAAATAATAAGAAAAACCTGCCATCCACACTTTAAGATCAGGCTAAAAGAGGCAGGGTTTATGCTGAAGCAACCCTCTCCATTTATCCAGGCTGGGGACTGGCACATAGCGACACACACAGCGCCCCCTGTGGCTGGATTAGACCCACCGCCCATGCTTGTACAGAGTTAGTGTGTTAATAATTGCATGCAGACATACTCACCATAAACAGCAGCCTTTGGACCTGTAAAGACTAGTTTAAAAGTTAAGTAAAACAGTTTAGAACTGCAATGAGAAGAGTCAGAAGAGTTAGGGTTAGAACTGTCATTTCACAAGACAAGCCCGAAACAATTTTACAACATACACAATATATATATTATTAATATGAGATTTAACCTTTAACCCTGTAAAGTTAATACAATGTTTAAACAGAAATGTCAACGTATTTCACAGTTTAGTGTCAGGGTTAGGACCAGAGCCATCACACTCTATAAAGCAGTCCAAATCTGGCCCACGTTTAGACCAGTTCAGAACAAACTAAATATAAAACTTGCACACAACCCAAAGCTCAAAGGAGTTTTCAGACCTTTTTAACATCGAATGAAACTGTTGAAAGGTTAGTTTACAATAAGTAATTTCAGTTTCACCCAACCATAACATGTTTTCTCAGCCTGTTTACATCTGGTCCATATTTAGACCAGTCGAGGCGCACACCAAAAACACACAAGGGCCCAAGGCCAAGTGCAACCTGTGGAAATTATGGTGTAAACATTTAATCTGGCCCACATTTAGACCAGTTCAGACCAAAAGAGACCAGCAATCTCCATAAAAGTGAGTCAACATTTAGAATATGGCCCCTTTCATACCAGTTTATGCCTAAAACAAAAGCCTTAGACTGTAACATAAAATCCTCAGCATATTCAGGCCTTGTTTTGAGATGATGAATCACACAGAAATGTCAACTACCTGAGTCTGCATGAACAGATCAATAAAATCAGTGAAAACTGGAACAGGGAAAGATCCCTGTAAGATTATGTCAGTCACAAATCCAACGTCAAAGGGTCAGAACTACCACAAAAGACCACAAAAAAGTGATAAAACACAAGGGCCTCAACCCTTGGACCAAAACTCAACTCAAGATGAGTGTCTGAACACTCTCTCACTGCAAGAAGGTACCTTTCTGTGCAGAATCTGTTCATCTATGGTCATGAGCTTTGGGTAATGACCGAAAGGACAAGATCGCGGATACAAGCACTCAAAATGAGTTTCCTTTGCAGGGTGGCTGGGCGCTCCCTTAGAGATAGGGTGAGGAGCTTGGAGTAGAGTCGCTGCTCCTCCATGTTGAGAGGAGCCTGCTGAGGTGACTCGGGTATCTGTTCTGGATGCCTCCTGGACGTCTCCCCGAAGAGGTGTTCCGGGCATGTCCCACCGCGAGGAGACCCCGGGGAAGACCTAGGACACACTGGAGGGACTATTTCTCTCGGCTGGCCTGGGAAGACCTTGGGATCCCCCTGGAGGAGTTGGAGGAAGTGTGTATGGAGAGGGAAGTCTGGGAGGCCCTGCTCAGACTGCCTCCCCCGTGACCTGGCCCCAGATAAGTGGAAGAAAATGGAATGGAATAGAATAATATAAAGCCTGGCTCCATATTCACTCATGTAACCGTGAACATCATGAGACTCATTTGAGCGGCGCTGAATGCTATGGGCAGATCATATCACCACGTCTTCAGGGCCTTTGCGAATACCCTGTGATAGCAAATATAAGCGAGACTGCAGTGTCAAAAAACGAGCAGGACACCCCTATTTGGACGACCCAAGAACCTGCAGCCAGGCCAGAGCTCGGAGCCGATGGAGATCGTAGCCCGGCCGGCCATGGATCTATCCATCTTGTTGAACAGTAGCTAATGTTTATCAAACTAATATATGAAATAAGTGCATGTGTGATTTGCTTCATTTAGTTTTCTTTAAATAAATGATGTCATGATGGCCAGAAATTGGTCCTAGTGAAGGCTTAGGGTCCAGGTCCATGGTTCACCACTGCCAAGTACAAAGGCGACTGCAGAACTGCACACCAGAAACTAAAGATTCAGCCTGTACCGACATGCGTCAGTGCAGCAGCCAGTGCCAGAATGATGATGATTCCCAAGCCGTGTTGTATGCATAGACTGTATAAAAGAAGTGGACTAAGTGAGTGTGACCCACAGAGTTCAACGCCGCTCAAATGAGGCTCGTGATGTTCACGGTTACAGGAGCAAATCTGGAGTCAGACTCTATATGAATAGGATTTTTTGGACAGACAAAATAGTGAAAAAAATAAATAAAAAATTCAGGATCATGTAAAGCGAGTTAATTCGAACATTTTAAGACCAAAATGGCTCACAGCAGCAGGTACAGAGAGAGGAGCCACAAGATCCTAATGTAAGTCCTTTGGAGCCAGAGTCAGAAGGAGCTGGAAGAGCCTCCTGGTGAATTTCCTATTTGGCACGCGGCGGCTACAGCTTTAGATCTGTCCACTTGTATATACGGTCTATGGTTGTATGAAAGTGATGATGATGATGATGATGTACAGAAAATGTCTAATAAAAAGTTATGTACTCATATTGTGTCTAAATGTGTATGTTGACATCCAACATCCAAATTTTATGTTAGCTACTTTTAAACTCTTTATCTGACCAACTGCATGTGATGTTTATAGTTTGTTTTACCCATATTGTTGATGTATTTCAACAGGATAATAAAAAAAAACATATTTTTGGAGGAACATGGAGTATTACATGTGAATATTACAGGGAAATTGCAAGAAAACAACCAAACCAGGTCATTTTTCACCCACTTATGCATCTAAGGGTTAATATGGGTAGGTCTTATAGCTTTGTACCTAGCACCATTTGATTCCCTAACCCAGAAAATGTGGGTTTAGCAGTTAAAATTAACATTTCAATTTATTCAGAGGCTGAGATATTTCAAAAAGAGTTTTTTGGCGGCCTTTTTTTTTTTATTGAATATGGCCACTATATAGACATCTGGGCAAACGCAAACATTGATTTTCTAACTCCATATACTATAACCTTTCCAAAAATATATAGTTTAGCAAATCCCCCCAAAATTCCCACTAAGGTTAAAAAATGAATATAAGGAACCGGACTAGTTTGATGCTGCGGTTTCGCTTATATATGCTATCGGGTATTCGCTAAGATGTCGTGATATGATCCCGCCCATAACTCAATGAAATATGATTGGCCTGGACAATTGTCAAACTCAAATTCATACCCACATTGAATTGCGCAGGCCTTACAGCCACCCATGCCAAACACATGACTCAATTAAAGTGATACGAGCCCATTTAACGAGATAAAAATATTTCTATGCAGATACACGTTAAATTTTAAATAAAATATATAGACTAATACAAAATTTCCTTCTCAGACTTGCACTCTAGTCTGTCTTTCTCATTATTGTATAACTCAAACCCAAAGCAGACTGTTGTTGTTTATATTTTTTATTGATATTGACAGTACAATCTGTTCAGTCCCTGCACAAAATAGTTTCTTTCCCTCTTATAATCCCTTTATTTTTTGTTTTATACTTTTCTTTACAAAAGGTAGCTTTACCACTCCGACGGCTGCGTACATTTACAATGCAAATGAACATATGTACACAAATATATGGCCCTACAGAAGAAGGATGAATGCTTTTAATAACTTACATTCAAATGATTCAAGTGACAAATAACAAGGACACGAGGACTGCTGCCTGCTTCAAACTTGGCACTTAGAATATAAATACTGTATGTTTTAACAGTGCTTTTCATTACTGAGTATAGGCAGGACCACAGCAAACCAAATAAATAATTAATTATGGAAATGTCAACTAAGTGTCACATAAATGTTATTAGGCAAGAACAAAATGTTTAAAATTACATTATGAACATTCAAACCACTAATATCATCAAAACTTAAACATTCACTTAAATATTCAGTACTCATTTATTAAATATAGAATTATCTCATTCTAAAAACTTACCCCTTAATCATTAAGGATTTCAGCAGCTCTTCAAAGCTAGACAAACATGTCTAGTACTACAACATCTCCCATTATGTATTGCCACACACTTACATTAGAAGTTTGGGATAAAAGGCAGTAATGTATAACAAAACCTAGAGGCAGTGCACTGCACTCATACTGTAATTCTTATGTTAACATAATTTAAATCCAGACAAAGGTAGTGGCAAGCCAATTAAATAAAATTGAGAGGTTACCTTCAGATTTGCTTTACATTATATGAGTGGGATATCTAATTCTTAATCTACAGATGTACTTCATTTGGAAATGAACTACAAAATATACTTTTCAGTCTGTCTCTTCTGTCATTTTGTTACATCCAACTCTTTCCCCAGTAACCTATAGACAAAAAAACTAACAAAAAACAAAAGACTATTACATGAGTTGAGCAATAACATATGGAAATCATGGATACTCAGACTGCTGCCCCTGCGACCCGGCCCGGATAATCGGACGAAAATGGATGGATGGATGGATACTCAGAATCTCCCACTGAGTTCCAGTCACAGTGCTTGAACAGGTAACTTCTTAATGCCTTGACTGACTGAGAAGCATGTAGCAAAGCAGATTTGACAAGTGTGTCTGTAAAACGCAAAATCCATTCAAATTTACTACAGCTTACATTTCCACTGGAGGCTCTTTGAAACAGCAGACCTGTAGTCCAATCTGATTCAAGATGATTTAGGCACATTATGAACATTCATTCATGAAGCACATTAAAGGCCCAATCCAGACTATGCACTGTTATGACAAGCACAACATATTTCTGGTGGTATTGCCACTGTAGGTAGAAATATAAATTCCCATTTTATCTTAAAAAAGAAAACAAACAAAAACACTTAAATTTATGGTAAAAATACGATAAAGCTAATACGATAAATTATTCAATTAAAAAATTAGGACATATGACCTTTTTATCATCAATTACTACAGTGCAGAATATATTTTATTATATATTCATATATTTTAACATGACAGTGAGGCAGAATGACCAGTTAGATGCAGGAGTGACAAACCACATCTATACTCAAACCATCCTGCCACATTCAGAATAACAATATATGTTGTTTGTTGAAGGAAAAGTGGATTTCTGCAAGTTAAAAAATCTGGATCAGGCCTTCAATTCATAATGCCATATATCGCATAGTGCATATGAGTATACTAGCCATGTATAAAATGGGCAAATAGAAGGCAACATACTCTGCCTGGTCACGCAGTGTTACATATTACCACAGTGTAACAGAGTTCAGTTTCGTCAAGCAAAAAAGAGGATTTACCTCAACTAAACACCTGTGCATAATAACTGACTTGAGAGCACTAGGATGTCTCTTTCCATTTGGTTTCCTGTGCAAAACTTTATGCCCCAAATTCATCTTCACTATCTACTGAATCTTGCAGTATGAGTTTTGGCCTATTCTTTCTGCGTGTTGCCTGCTCTATTGGGTCATGATCTCCTGCTTGTGTTGAGTACAGAGTTGAATTTGTGGGATTTTTGCTTGCATCCTGTGATTCTGTTGATTGTGTAGTTTGTGGTATCAGTACATCTGTACCTCCTGGGTCTTTCATTGCCATACTGGCCCCGACCAAAGCAGGATAGCTCCGGTTCCTCCTCAGTCCAGCATTGAGCCCTGTCAGACCCCCACCCAGTGCACTGTTAGCTAAGCTGGTTGAACTGAAAGGGACTAGCAAAGCATTCCCACATGAAGCAGAGAGGGGAGAGAGGGTGCGAAAACGTTTCAGTTTGTCAACGAGTCTCAAGTTTGAAGTCTCCATTTGGCCGTCATCGTCTACCTGTGACCCCCGTTCTCTCTCAGACTCCCCCAGGATTTCTCTTAAAATTGTACGAGCTGGTTTTGAGGCAAGAAAGATGTCATAGTATGGTGGTTCTTCCTGGCATGGGCTGAACTGAAATACGGGTCTGGTTTTGGGTGAAGAGGCAGATTTTAAGCAAGAACGAGGAGAGTTTGGTGGTGTCTTTGGGAGCATTAGAGGCAAACTGGTGGGACGCTGTGCAGGTGGTCTTTCTTCAGGTTTTAAGGGTGTCCTGTCTGCCAGAGGGGTGGAGGCTGTGCTAGTATCTAAGCCTCTGTCCCAACTGTGAGGATCATACACTGATGCAGAAATCCCCCGTTCCTGTAGGAGGCGCACCAGGCCCAAAGACGTGCTGGTGGTCCTGGTTGAGTCCCGCAGGTTTGTAGAGGATTCAGCCAAAGACAGGGACAGAGACAGGCGGCGTGGGGTGCAGCTGGGGGTGTAAGAGGGTGTTGGTGGGGCAGAGAAAGGAACAGAGGATGGAGTGTGGGTGGGGGTCCCGAGACAAGCACTGCTCTGACATGAGGCTATGGATGAACTAGAGAGAAAACAGAAAGAGGGGGATACGTGTTAATAAAACAATGAAATATTTACGTCTTTGTGTCCCAGTACACATCATGCTATTGTGTTCATTAGCAAGACATTATTTTGTGCTAACAAAAGTGGGGACCTTGAAATAACAGTGTTACAAAGAGCAACATTTTGCAGTTGAAACTTATACCTTTGTAGGGTAGAATATGTTTCCCTTTTAGTTTTGATTACCTTGACTAGTACCACTGTCCATGACAAGTTAGTTCCAGAAAACATTGGTCAGTAACAAATTTAAATTAGTGCCAACATTTTGAGTTACATACACCTATTGTAACAGAACCACACTCCCATGCATTTTCCTCACCCACTGCTCTCAGTGCTCTACATCTGTCATATGATACAAATCAACTTCCTCCTCATCCTCACTGGACCTACTGGGGCTAATCATAAGGCAGGGCTTTAAGAAAACATGTAATATTCACTTGTATGTATTAACTCTTATGAAACTGTGTTTTACCTGGGTGACACTGATGTCAGCTGATCAGAGGGGTGCAGGATCCTGCAGGTGGTGAAGGTGTATGTGGAGCTTGTGTGGGACATACACTTCCCTGGAAAATTAACTACAGGAACGAAAAAGGAGAACACAAAAGGACAAAGTTAACTACATCAGTATACACAGACTGATACATAATAATGTGAATATGAAGGGAAATGAAGCAGGAGAGACCCAGAGCAGAAACACATCCATATTTCTGAAAGGGCAGTAAAAGTTTGTAAAGATGACTCTACAGCAGATACAACCTGAGCCAGTCTGACTGAGGTGACATGGTTATGTGAGTTGGACAGCTGCACCAAACCTGATACTCGCACTCGAAGTTCACTGCGTGAACTTCAGCACTGACATTTCAGTGTGCACTGGTTTATGTATGCGATAACTGTACTAAAGCAAGATTTACTAGATGTGTAGGGCAATAAATTAGATTTAAAGCAAGTTGGAAATGGAGAAAGAAAGCTGGGAAAATGACAGAATATTAAAAACATAAAAGTACTCAGTTTCGATGGATGCGATGACTGCACAGGATGCTGCTGGGGTGAGATCATGACAGGACGTCACAGTTAGGGGGGTGCCATAGCTTTTCCCATAACCTCCCTCCCACCCCTCTATCCCCATGCTGCAGAGCTACAGTGAGGGCAGGGGTAGATGCAGTAATTGAGCCCAGCTAAGGTGTTCCCTCACCAGGCAGGCGCCCCACTGCACTAGGCTGTAGGGCCTGGAGCTCCATCAGGTCCAAGTGTCCATTCACTTCAGAGGAAGACGAGGGGTTAGAGGAGGAAGGGGGCATGTGCACAGCTTGTTCGTCTTGTAATATTTGTAAATGATCTTTAATGGTGCCATTTTGGTTGCGGCAGACAGAGGATGAGGAGGTAGTGTGTGTCAGATCCATGACAGAGCTGTTAAAGGAGTCACAACAAGCTTCATCCTCCTCAGGCTGATCCAGCTGCCAGCTGTCCTGCTCCTGCTCATGATCTAAAGTGCAGAAGCCCTTCGTCACCACTCCGGGACGGTGGTCCAACAAACCACCCAAGTGAGGCTGGGCGAGCTGCTGCCAGGCATGGAGGGTAGCAGAGCCTAAAGGAAAACAGGAGATGTCATTCAACATCACAAAGACAACAAAGTCAACTATGGTGTTTGAGACTAAGACTGCTTTTTTGTTTTAATTGTCAAAGCTTCTACAACAACGAAGCTGTATAATGCACATTTCAATATTTGTTATTGCCATTAGAAAGAATTTTAACACTTGGTAAGGATCTTACAGGTCAACTTTTAAGTTTAAAGGGGTGCAAATGAATGTACATAAATGTATAACACAAACAGTAGTTGGAAGTTTTTGTAAATAAGTTAAAGACAAAAGAAGAAAGAAAAAAAAATAAGGAAAAGGAGAAGAGCAGAAATTAGTAAGATTTTTATTGACATCAAGGAAAAAGGGTTCAACAGAAACATTAGGAAAAAACAAAAGGAGAAATGAATGAGGGAAACAATGATAAATGAAAACCACACAGAGTATACCCAACTGTGGTAGGGTCAGACTTCTAACAGCAGATGGGGCCATTAAATTGCATTCACGTAACTATATTTATATGACCAGGCTATTGGCTAGCTTTGCCTTTGCAAACAAGAAATAAAGGGGGAAACATATCAGTTACATCAGTGTAAAATAAAGTGCTTAGTTTGGGTAACCTTTGGCTTGTGTAAAGACTTACGTGCAATACAGTTAAACCATGATGACATGCCTTTACTGTCATAATTCAAACCAGCAGCGTGGCTGCGTATTTCTAAAGTAAAATGAATGCTGGGGACTGAGAGCGCCCTCTGGTGGTTCTAACACTTGTAGCAGCCGAGTGACTAAAGCAAGAGGAATTCTGAGCTGTGCCTGTGACCTCAGGGAGTGGCTAATATCAAACAGACTGGAGGATCTCTTCATAGGGCTTGGAAACTGGGAGGCTTTTACTGAGCTTTTGGAATCACCAGAGTTGTAAATTAGGTAACAATTTTGTTGAAATCTTGAAAAAGTTTGATTCAAATCTCTCTGTGTGAAAGGCTGGTGAGTGTGCCCAATGTTCTGATTCTGTTTATCATTACAATCTTTATTTTCTTTCACCACAATCAACACCTCATTGCTCTGTGCTAAATAATCACCTTCTAGTGGCTTTACAATCTGCAGCTTCTCAGGAAGGTAAGACCTGGCTGTGAACGAGTATCCCGACCAGATGCTCCCAATGGACGGATGTGTGCAGAGTGAGAACAGGCTCTCTGTTGGGGTCCCGGGGTCTCCACTACCTTCTCCATCCCCCTTCTCTTCTTCTTTGGCCAAATAAGCCAATTTCCTCTCCCTCTCATCCTCAAAGAAACGTTTTTCGGAGAGGTAGTTGTCTCGCCGGAGAGACAAACGTCTTAGAGCTGCCTCAAGGTCCTTGCTGCCTGGAGTCCCTGGGGTCCCTGGTGGACGCTTGTTTGAATCCTCAGATCTATGAAATAAGAGAAGATAATAGATGGTGTCAGAAAAAAATCACAGAAGTATAAATCTACTTTGTCACACTTGAATGTATTATTTGAAAGGGACCTACCCATTGTCTGAGGCCTCCAAAAAGCTGCTGGTCCTGTTGTCCAGGATAATGCCACTTCCTGTGTCACTGCCTAAAACAGAGTTGCAGCGCGGTGTGCCTTCTCTGCTGGAGCGGCCAGAGTTCAAATTGGACGTCTGGTTGGATCCGGGGATGTTAAGGGGGGACGGAGCCAATGAAGCCCGCTGCTGACGCATCAAATTCAGGTTCTTCACGGTCTGAAATACTCGCTTTGGCTGCAGCCTGGAGAAAATGTATATGTTGTTACTTTGTGGTATTTTCATGCTTCAAAGATTAAATACTTTATTCATAACATAATAACACAATTTAGTGGAGCATCTAATACTTCATAGTAATGATGGAAAATGCAATAAATAAATGCAAAACCTCCATCCCATAAACCCTCAGTGTAAATCTAAACACAATGAGAGTGCACATATGTAATAAAAAGTAAAAGTAATTGTTGTGCTAATGTTGCACAAAACACACAGCATGACACAAACATATTTTAATATACAAACAAAATATACATTTTTGGCTCTTAGTATTAAATTGTAACAAAAAAATAAATAAAAAAATGCATCTGTGAAGTTTTACCGTTGTTCTTCTACATCTGGGTCGTCGTTCTGAAGCTCTTTTCTCATGGTGCCCTCTATTTCTGCTGCTAAAGAGTCCTGTACCAAAGTGAAAGAGAAATATTATAGCAATAAGATTAATACATAATAAGTGACTTATTTTTTCTTGAAAGTGTTTTCTCATTTATTCACCAGTGGGAAGAGTCCGAGTGAGTGGAAGCGCCTGGGTGTGCTCAGAGGTACTGTTTTATTTCTGAAGTTTTTGAGTTCCTCTTGAGCCTCATGCAGCATCTCCATACACTCAGCGTACTTGTCCTGTAATTCTTGGAGCTGTGCAATAGAAGGTCATAGTGTCACGTGCACATGTATGGAAGCATAATATAAATATATTATTATACCTAATTTATATTTTATATTTCATAATGTTAGAATATGAACTGTAATGTTTGTCCATGGCATTCAGAATTAATATTGGATTTGGAATAAATTACAGTTTACAGTTTTGGAATTTTATTTTGTGCATAATAAAAAAATATAATATATTCAATAAAAAATAACTAATAAAAAAATTGTATTTGAATCATCTTTGCTAGACTACTGAAGGTGCTTTTATTGACATGTAACAATTTATTTATAACATAACATGATAAAATATCCATTAAATGCATTTTTGACAACTTTACCTCAGCAGTGAGTTGCCGTTGGGCATCTTTGGCTGCTCCTAAGTGCTGAGTCAGCTCCTCGTTTTCCACAGCATACTGGAAAATAAACAAAATGAGGACAGAGGTGAAATACTGCACCATCTATAAACATTTGGTTATATATTTTTAATGACTGTCAATGCTTTTTACCACTTTGGCTTTTTTCTGAAGGTCCACGATCTGTGAGAGGAGATGTGTGATTTCTTCTTGCTGCCTGGTGGCATCTTCTGTCTTTTTGGCCAGTTCTTCGGCGAGGGACCCAATCTGCCGGTTTGCATCACCTAATGGAGCATTGCAAAAAATATGTTTTATCATATGTTTATGATAACAATACGGCGTTATTGTAGCAAGCCACCTGTTAGCTGTAGCAGTAACATGCTAATATAGTGAAGATGGTGTGTAAGGTGTGTGTAGATACTCACGCAGTTCCTTAACACAGTCATTGACCAATTGCTGCTCTTTCTCTTCATAGGAAATTGTTTCTGTTTCCAAATGGCTTGCCTATATATTACAATGTATCAGTAAGATATTCTGTGCCTACATTATATTAAATTGGGATTACAATTTTTGTACCTCAGAGCGCAGTGATTTATTTTCTTCCTCCAGGTCTTTGAGTTTCTTTTGCAGTGAATCCAGGGGGAAAAATGTTGGAGGAGAGACACTAGTTTCAGGGGGGCGGACACTGTCAAACATACAAACACGGCAAATCTATCAAAGAGTCCTTTATGCTTCTGTGATCAATTATGTTATCAATATTATTACATTCAACACTGGCGCAACAACAAAACATTATAAAGCACAAAAAGTGTTTAACATAACACTTGAATAATAATGATAAATAAAGTATATAGTATAAAGCATAAGTAAAGTATAATGTAGTTTATCTGTCTATCTATCCATCTTGAACACAGATCACAGAGATAATGGGCAATGATAATGCACGTTCACTTATTGAACTATACAACAGCTGCTTTTATTAAAAGGCTTAAGCAGCATTTTATAAAATGACTTTCTGCATGAACCAGAGCCTCACAGAGTTTATAGCCAGGAAGTCTGCCTCTGTAACTAATGAAAAGTTGTTGTGTTTGAATTCGGGTTGCATAACTGCTGTACTGTAGGGGGTCTTACGGTGTGGAGGTGGTGGACTCTCCCTCGCTCTCCTCAGCAGCACTGGTGTAAAACTGCAGCAGCTCATCTTTCATGGACAGGTCATGACGCAGCTGTGACACCTGGAGACAAAAGAGGGCAATAATGAATGAAGACAATAATTTATAAAGCCAGAGGAGGTGGTTTTGTTCATACTTCCTCTCGGATGTGCTCGACTTGCTCTTCCAGGAGTTCATTCCTCTCACTCAGTGCTTTGTTTTTCTTTAGCAGCGACTGCCCAATGCGGGCAGCAAGTTCCAAGTCACGCTCTTTCTGCAATGAAGCAATCTCTTAATACCAACAAGTCAGAGTCAAATTGTCAAAGTCAAAGTAGTTTTATTGTCAACATAACTTTATGTGCAATAAAACAATGTCAAGGGTAAGCAAAAAGCTTGCTTTCTGAGGAGATATTTTTTGGATATTTCCCATGACTTCTTATATGTATGATTTATTCATCACTCCCATTTTATGGTACTGTAACTCTCAATAGGAGTGACATGGTTAGATCATTTGAATATATTAAAATATTTTTTTATGGTTCTTTATTATGAAAGCTTCTCTGTAATGAAGTTCATCAGGTGAGATGTGTAGACTCAAAGAGCATAACTACATCTGACCAAAGTACAATACAGTCTGCTATAGAATTGATGCCCATTAAGCATTAAGACCATAAAATTTGGCAGTTCAAATCCAAGTCTCCTTTTACGAGACATGACACACAAGTCACTTCATCAGTAACACAAAGTTTTAATCAGTTTGCCCCAGGGCAGCTATGGCTACAGGGATACAGTGTGGGATGTAAACAGTAGGAAATATTATTAAACTGGTTTTTACCTCCTCCAGAAGTCTGGTGACAGCATCAATGTCACTGTATGTTTTTGTCATCTGGCCCACTCTGTCTGCACACAGCACTGCAAAGACCAAAAAAAAACCAAAAAAACAAATAAGTGAAATTATGATATAATAAATTATAAATAGTCCAAAAGAGTTTTGTAATAAACAGTGTTGTGCCGAGTTAAGATTCTGTGTATAGTGATACACTAATTTTTAAAACTATTTAGTGCATAAGTAAAAATGACCATACATTTTTTTCTACTACACTTGCACCATAAATCACACCCACTTGTGATATTATGTTCAAACAAATATCCAAGAAGGACCTCCACCCAGCTCTCTATAAATCAAATGTAAATCATCAGCCAAGGCAGTCATTAAAGCACCACACCTGAAGATCCACAACAGTCTAGTCCAACACACTGATTCATTGTGAAGTCTAGAAATTAGAGCTAGATCAATATATTGCATCAATAACTGTACTTTTTAGCGAATCGGCTATCGGCCTTAAATCTCCAGCACAAGGTGATATTTAGTTTAGGCCAACTTACAAGAGTACACACAAAGCTTAATTTGTGCCCAAAACGTGATTACATGGCTTTCTTGAAGGTTTGTGGTAAAAAGAGACTGTAGGTGAGTTGATCATAAATTAAAATGATATAATTTGGCAAAAATAAATAAAAACTGGCTCTACATAATGACCCAAAAGTATCAGCAGAACTTATCGGCCGCAGTCGTTCTGGATTCTAAACAATCATAAAGGCATAAAAAATAGCCATAAAAAAAAAACAAAAAAACATCAGTCCATCTGTAATAAAAGATTATTTTTCTGTATATTTTGCACTTCAAATATTTACTTTTATTTTAAACATATTTAACGTTGTTTTGCCCATATGTAAAACATTCAGCTAATGCAAACAGTACATTTATATTTGGCACCACAGTACAGCACAGTACAGATAAAATACAAGGCTTGCAGAAACCTTTTCCCTTGGGACACATATAAAGCTTTTGGTTTTGCTCCTTTGAGGATAGTTACAAATATGCCCCACATGTAAACAGTTATTAGGTTTAATGTTATCGACCCAACAATGGGACTGAGTGTTTGATAAGAGCCTCATTTACCTATCACTTCTTCCTGGTAAACAAAACATGCAGTTAACTTCATAGCAACGACCAATATAATGCTGTAATATATAGGCCTTTAAAATACACATTTTCTAAATACTCTAAATACAACAATAAAGCAGTAGCATATTTATTTAACACCATTTTATTTTAGATCATATCAATTATGGAAGAGATTGATTAAATAAATTGATTAAAAGTTCAAAGTGTAATGTTTAGCAAATTACTTAACATTACTGTTACTAAAGCAGTTGAAAAAATATTTGTACTATGTTGTTATTTCTATTATAAACAATACAAATAAACATGATGAATTTGTGAGGTTAGCTTTTCTAGCCTGTATGCATTATTCTTCACGTGCTTGATGCCAGTTGTACTGTATAGGTGAAGGTGCTGTAACCCAATATTGGTGATAGGTGATCTGGATGTTTTTCTTGATCTTTTCTACACAGAGTGACACAGAGTGAGTAATTCAAGACAAACCCAATCACTCTCCCCTTGTGTCCCTTTACAAAAGTAAGAAGAGACCTTATACAGCCGGTTCCCAATGTTCATCAGTGCAATTCACATACAAATAACTTTTTTACTATTCACATTATGGACTGGAGAAGGTGCTTCATGTTGTAAAGTTGTCAGGGTAAGGGAAAGTTGTGAGTTTATAGCCATTGCTCCTCTGGGCAACAGCCTGTCAAAGGTTAGTGACAACAAACGCAAACCAAGACAACAAACAAAAGATTTCATGGATTTGTTATGACGACTACAAACACACACAAATGAAGTGAAAAAAAAGGGGTACTTGTACTTGGTGATATACACACCTTTGACAAGAAAACACTTTTGCCTTTACTTATATTACAGTTGTGACAGAAAATTACTTGCTTATTAATAAGTACTGACCCCCTTCCCCAAATAAATTTCTTAACAAAATGTTCAAAAAGCAATCTGTGTTTTCCAGTGTACACAAACTATAACTTTATCCAACTTTATCTTTAGAAAGTTATCATGTTATTTATTACTGAGGTCAAAGTTGAAGATGTCATATTCACCTTAACATGAGCCAAATATATATAGGACAGACCTTCCAACATAAGCTGCTGCTCCTCGTCCTTCTCCTGGTCCTGTTCTGAACCTCCAACACTCTCCCCACAGAAATATTCCTCTTGTTCTTCATCCTCTTCCTCCAATTTTGTGCTTTCACAAACAGGAACACCAATACAGTCGACATCCTCCTCTGACTGGTTTAGGCTCTCATAGACCTCAGTTTTGAGCAATGCCATAATCCACTGTTTCTAAGTCCAAATGCAAATATGCAAAGCCAGCAGGTGCAACGCCATGGCTCCTACCTGCACTGTTTGCATCAAGGGAATGTTTTCAGTCAGTATATAACCTGAATGTATTGTGTGTCAAGCATATCCAATAAACATCGCAGGAGCATACTATGTTAATAAAAGGTCCCCAACAGTAATCCATGAATGACTTGTGTTGGCTCAGTTAATGTCTGGTCCGGCGAGCCAGTCTTTATTGTGAATGTATCATTTGTCTCTTGTGACATGACAACTAGATGACACATTAGCTCCTCCCCCTCATCCTGGTTGGTTGAAAGTGGTTTACTTTACTTTCCTTCAAACCAAGGGGTGAAAACACATGTCCAGAGACAAGACTACTATCTCTCAATCGAGGTCAGTGTAAAATAAAAGGGGATTATGATTAATCTGTAATATGCATCTAGGTCAATTACAGTTCACAGCTGTTGGAAAAAATGCACTGTTCCCCATTATTATTTTCCAATATAAATTAAATAAAAACAATTAAGAAAATCGTAATTGTAAAATTATGGGACAAAAAAATGTAGTAAACTTGAATATCTAAAAGTAGGCTGGTACAAGAGCCTTCATGCACAAGTCACACTTAATATGTGGGCTATTATGATGAACAAAAACCAGAGAATTGATATGGCAAAACTGTGGACAGAAGGAATAAGGAAAGCCGAACCACCCCCTTTCATTAAGCAACATGGTATAATCTGGTATAGTCACGGTATAGTCCCGCCTCCTGTGTGTTGGGTGGGGAAAGGAAACTTCCAGGTAAGTGTAATGTTCACCTCTGCTTTAAATAGATTAGAGCCAGACCTGAACACCCAAGATGGATAAGATTTTACAGCAGTATTTGCACAATTAAAATGCAAGCACGATGACTAACAAACCCAGCAACCCTTATATTTTGCCCTTCAGTTACTGTTTAGTATTCCAAATTTTCTGCTCAGTAGGCGCCATTCAAGTGTTGTAATTACAGTAATTGGCCCAGAAAGTGCTGCCAAATTAGACAGTGCTTTATGCGTGAATAAGTTTATTCAATGGTCCCATACATGCAAGGCAACAAAGGGTTTGAGACAGGCACTCTTGTGTCTCTCATGAGATAAAATTAGTTTTCTAGTCACGTTTTCAGCTTGACCTCTTTTCACTGAAGTATTCAAAACATGTTATTATCTACTGCTAATACTTGGGAAAGTTTAACCTAAATAATTATGTTAGATGGTTTAACAATCCTATGAAAATCTAAATATAATTTTTTTAAAAGTGTTCATTTATAACATAAAATGATTGCTAGACTAAAAGTATTCTGACTTTGCAATGTTAACCTTTGAATTCCCCCCCTATTTATTTGGTTAATTTCCTACATTTCCTTAAGGGCCAAAGTTGCAGAGCAACTTTATCAACAATCCAATGGTGAGCAAGAGGCAAATCATTGATCTAATTATAAACCAACCTAATTCCTTATTCTGTTCCTCAGCTCAGAATAACACAGCCAGCTTTCCATTACAGGGCACCACCCCTTGAAAAACAATCATTAAAGTGTCTATGTAAAATATAATAATGTACATAAAATCACATCAGTATTGTCATGACTCACTGAACACAAAGAGAGAAACATGAAAATGCTGTGGGTTTAACAACAACACTGCAGATGTAGAAAGTGGTACACATTGGTGGGTGCAGAGTGGTCTAGAAGATTATGTAACAACTCAGAGCATCCCTTACACACATGGATAATATTGTTCTCATTAGACCTCATTCTCACAGACTGGAGTACATAATTTTAGCTGGTACCATTTCATAGATCTATAAGAATATTGTGTAAGAGTGGTCTACATAGCTTTTGGCATAGCAAAAGGGTACTTGGCAAAAAATGACAAACCAACCGACTCAAGCAGACCACAGCTCACTTAATATGCCAAATAACTAGCTCCATGGCATATTTAAAATGGGGCTACAGTCTATTACATAATAATCACTGTATCCATGTTTATGATTGGCTAGTGCAATGACCTATTAGCACAACCTATAGTTATCAAATCCTCTGACAGTTCTTGTTTTTCACACCTGTGCCTCCATACAATTTCTCTGGAGAGAAGTTACTTCCCTAATGACCATAGTAAGCAGTTGCAGTAGCCAAGTAGTTAACAAACAACCAGCAACAATTTTCCAACCATCAAAGGCAAGAAGGGGTCCCTTAATTTCCTGCCTGCTGCACTGGCACCTTCACCACTTCTCCCTATTTTAGAATCTGGTCACAAAGAATGGCACATGTTACAACACCCACCAAGAGCAGCTGGGGTCTGCTTGTGAAATCACTGCTTAGTCACTGAGAGATACTAGATTTATAATAAGTTATGCTCTGAACTAGTCAATAAAATAAATCATATGTTTTAGTAGATCGTAGAACTTTAAACAACTTAGCTTCCTCTATGATAGACCCAACTTACCATCTGTACACTCTTCATAGTACCAGTCCAGCTCGTAGTAGTCAGCTTTTACAAACTTCTGCCCTTTGGCCTGGCCTCGCCTCTTCATCCTCACTGTTTCAGGAAACAAAAATCTAGAGAGCAACTTATCCTCTGCATTCTCAACTTCAACAACATACTCTTTCCAATCCAAAGTCCTGATATGCTTAGAAACAGCAAGATGTCACTGAGTGTAGTAGCAACGGTTAGTTCCCATATCCCAGCATGCCAAGCGACTGCCAGCTGTCCCACAGTAATTGTTGGTCAAGGTCTAGTGTCATCATATGTCCTCTCTGTCCCAAGCTCATTAGTGGCAAACAGTCTTCATATTGTTGGGGTACAGAAAGCAGCTACAATGCCATCAGATGTATAACGTATCCATTTTTGTGTTCTTCAGTAAGGTCACGCTTCCTTTAAAACTGTCAAATTTTCTTGGCATCCATCCTTCAGTCTTCCCAGTCACTACAGCAATCTGCTAACATCATCTTAAATACCATTCTCCTTCTGTTACTGTTTACATTCTTGTCAATCCATCCTCCTCGCTTGTCCTCTGTCTGCATTGTATCCTCTTAGCTCCCATGTCAAAAATATATCTTCCGATTCTGCAACATCGTCATTTAGGGGCAGTCCCAGCTCCGCACATGGGCTACCACATCTCTCACAAAGCTACAAAAAACAGAGGTCTAGAGAGAGTAGCCAGTATCACCAGCAGTAGCAGCAGTCACGGGTTTTGCAGCAGAAATGATGAGGCTCATGACATAGTGGAGTAGGCGGGGCTAACCACACACAACCAATCAAATTCTCCAAGCATCCCTCGCATCAGCATCTTGTCCCTGCCCACTACTTCCCTGTCAGCATCTCTCTCCCTCCTCTTACATAGTTCTCCTCTGCGGTTGCTATAGTAACTAGCTCAAGGCCTGTGAAATCCTAAAAGCTGGAAAACGGTGTGTTGGCTGTGTAGCGTTGGCAGAAGTGACGTGGCCAACACCAAATGAATGAATGCAATGGGATAGTCCTATTTTGGCTGAGGAAATGGCACAATAATGAAATAATAACTGAGCAGAAGTCCTCACACACCCACATACATACACAAGATAATGGCAAATAAAAACAGAATGGGAATGCATCGCAAGCTGTTATACAATCTATAATAAAAAATAAAGGTTAGCTAAAATAAAGGGCCACACATACTTGGGACTTGTGTAACAGTATTGCATCACCCATTCTTCACATAAACTAGTCTAGTTAGTTTTCACTTCAATACTCAAATGGTGTGATTATTTTTCCTGTTGGGTGTATATTCCACTATGGTTGATAAATTCTTAAAGTGACTTTGATTAACTGGATTTTAATTTATGTCTATGTATGTGTGGATAGATGTTTTATTTTACTCTATTGATTTCATATATAAAACAGTTGCTCTATGTGACACTCATTCAGTTTTGATGTGAGCATAAAAAAACTTTGTGCTTTGTTTAAGATTAAAATGTTTCATATGGTTGTTTTTCTATTTTGTCCTGCCAAGTATCCCTCCTTCTCTAGGCCCTTTCACTGTTTGCCGCTCTACAAGACTCCTCTCCCAACACAACTCGTTATGGAAGATCCAGTCATGTGACTCTGACACTGTACAGTCATGTGGCAGAGTAGACACCTGCTGACCCATCCATTATGCTTTGTCCTGTTTCACACTGGTACTCTCTGTGCAGTGTGAATAAATAATCTAGAGCGCATGTGAACAATAGCCAACATCACGTGAGGAAAGTTCATATTTAAAATCTACCAGGGAAGCAAAAATGTGCATGGTGTCAGCTTCTCAGAGATACATATTTAACATGCTTCTTACCATATGTAAAATTAATTATGCATAATGAATACCAACTGCATCTAAATCTACTGTAGTTGAAAATATATAGGATATTGATCCTATATAATGAAAATATATAGGATAATGATCCTATATAATGAAAATATATAGGATAATGATCCTATATAATGAGAACATATAGGATAATGATCCTATATATTTTCAAATACAGTAGATTTATTTTAAGATTAATAAAAGAAAGAATGAGTGTATGCCCTTGGCCAGTCCAATGCCACAGCCAGTGTTGACATGGGGGATTAAGATTACATTACAGTCTTGCGTAGTCACTATTTTTAAAAGAAATTTATTTTTAGCTACAGTTTTACCCTGAGTCACCATCTGTGTAGACATGAACCAAAAAAACTCAATTATTCATAATGGGAAATACACTACTCCCTGCCTCGCCTTAAGTGGCCTGTGCACTTGTACTGTAAGTTTTAGTGATCATCCACAGACCAGCTGGATCCAAGGCAGACAGTTTAATATGATAAGCCCAGAATAGACACACAATATTGGAGAACAAGAGACAGCACTAGTGGATCAGCTGTATTTGTTGTGGCAACCTCAGCAGCTGTATCTACAATGAAATGTACATGACTGTCAAACTGCCACATAGAATTATTAACTAAATAGGATAATAGTGTACATGGGTTCAACTAATATCTTAATAGTATTATTATTTTAATTTAATCATACATCTGTTCCGAGTCCAACATAATATCCTGTGAGACCTGGTCACTGTTCTTAGCCCTGGTATCAGGTGATGTCTTTTGGTTTAGTTCTGAATCACAATATAGTTATATATAAGATATATATAAGATATAAGATAGATATTATATATATATATATATATATTTTTTTTTATCTATATAACTTTATATATCTATATGTGTATATATGTGTATGTATGTGTATGTGTGTATATATGTGTGTGTATAATATATATATATATATACATATACATACATATAATATATAGATATATATATATATATATATATATATATATATATATATATATATATATATATATATATATATATATATATATATATATATATATAATATATATATATATATATATATATATATAAATAAATAAATGCACAAAAAAATACAAATGTACTTACAGAAATATTTGAGAGTCTCCTCTATCTGTTCAGTGGTCAAGTCGAGGGGAGAGTTGGGGTCCACCAGTGGAGTGTGCAGCCAGTCATCTTGGTCGTACCCGAAGATGGTATCAGCCCTCAACTTGTACACAGGCAACTGTTCCTCCAATAAACTGATAATTTCAAGCTCCGGCAAGTCAGTATTGTTACACACATCTGCAAAACAATGGGAAGACAATTAGTCATTTAAATTATTTAAGGTAGTAAGTATACATATTTTAAATTAACATCACTATGTGGTTGAAATTTAAGTGACAAGTAGGTAGTAATACATCAAGTATGAAGTGCAGCACATTGTGCATGTATGTTAGGTCTGAGGCGCCCTCTTGTGTCCATTTTACAATATAAGACATACAGTACAGGCAGATTAAACTTCTTGTAAAGTTAACATCTATAAAATAATGTCTAGAAACAAAAAAAAATGTTTAACAGGTCTTAGGGTTGCAAACTAAATCGCAATCAAATTTAAGTCACAATCCAAATGGTTGCAATTTTTGAATTTTTGAAGTACCCTAAGTTATTATTATTCTCTGTATTAATCCCTATAGCTAAGATGTGTATAAACATCAAAAAGTGATTCTTGTATTAATAGTTTCTGTATTTTTTTGTAAATTCGTTTGGATACATCTAAATGTGAACTTGGAACCATTATTAAAAGATGCTATTGTAATGCTTGTCAGAACAAAATGCAATTAGGGCTGAATGATTTTGGAAAAATATCGAATAAGTCTTATGGACAATCAAAAGATATCACTGAAGCGTTCACCTGTGTTTGTGCCCACTGTTATTCACACATCTATTTTTATGTGCTATTTAAAGCTCCATCCACTCGGGACCAAAATACAATGCCCTACCTCTGTGCAACATGCAGGAGCCAGGCCTGAGTCAGTCATGAACAAGATGAGCAATAGACAACAGCACCCACCATCACACAAAATTAACAGAACAGAAAGGCAGCCTATAGCAGTGAACAGGACAGATATGCTTTGTTGGTGTGCTGTCTGCCTCTCCCTCTGGATGTCAATGTTTGCGAACAAAGCTCTCTGTCACTGTGTACTAATCTAGACAGAATGACTGACTGTGCTGGAAAAGTAACACATGTAAAACAGCTGAGGGAAAAGTAAAAGAAAACCAAATAAGATTCAACCATGAAGCAAAAAAAAAAAAAAAGATGTGGTATGTGGTTCTCTAGGCAACAGCCCAAAACAAACAGTCAAAGTGCAAAGAAATTATTGGCAAGAAGTAGTAGTATCATGACCAAAATACAACGCAGACAGGAAGTCATGAATCCCCAAAATGAGTAGGTGCTTTCTTGAAGCTTTCTAGCTTTGTGGATATTATGGTTGTTTAAACTAAGATTGTGATACAAAAAAAAAACAAAAAACGTTCTGACCTAAATCTTTCTCAAATACCTGTACTTCAATAAGCCAACATGAAGACATGCTAAGATTAGCAACAGGCATAGACACCATGAAAAGAAAGTTCAAGTTCAAAGTAATAATAGTCAAGTTTGCCACAATGTCAAAGTAAGCAATAAACACATGGACATATGCAGACACAAAAAATACTGTTACAAATATTAAAGCCATGCATGGGACTTTTTCAGTTATCATACTAGTTGTTATGCACCTAGAGTTGCACATTAAAAGACAGATTATCATCAAACATCATGCTTATACCATTCATTTGTGGACAAATGTTAAAATTAGGTCAATGGAGACGTGGGTAAATCATCCCATAGGCAGGATACAAGCCACCCCCTCGCACTATGTGTGTCACGCTGCAGAATCACATGGACACAACTTTTAGACACAGAATAATAGACCATATCAACAGTGATTACACTGTACTAGAACCAATAGTAATGCATTTATAACTGAATATTGTAATCCTAGTAATACAGTAATACCAGTATGTATGAGAATGTAACTTGGTGAGAGACTCAAACATGTTCAAAACTTGGCTGTTGTGTAAAGTTTTTTGTACCTCAAGAAAACTAGGGTTAAACAAGACAAACCCACTTAGATAGAACTAAAGTAGAATAAATCTTAAGTGTAAGACTACTATAATAGTACTAGAAGAAGTAGGTTTACAGCCACCTGATTATAGTTTGAGATCAGCTGTATTCTGTTAACAACAAAAAGAACAAAAGAAGTGACTCAGTGAGACAAGAATGACACAAGCCCAATCCTACTGTTATTTACAAAAGCTACTCATTAGCTGTGCTAGTCTAGAAGCCGGTTTCAAGATGACGACAAAGGCACACTTCATTTCTCAGAGTTTGGTACAGTTTACTTACTCATGGTGCCCAAAACCACTAATGCTTCTTCGCCTCAGTCACATTTTCAGCTGGTCCAAGAGACATAAAATACCACCTAAGAAGTCCAGAAACAGGAAGAACAGTCAGGCTGTTGGAAAAAACTTCCCAAGGGCAGAGAAAAAGAGAGAGAGCGAGAGGGCTGGAGGGAGAGAGCAGCCAGGAGACCCGAGCCAAACTGGTTCATCATGCTTCACATGCCAATGACGGTACACACTCGGGCCGCCCAAGTGTGCAGCCCCCTGAACACCTCCCCCTCTCCAACACTCCTCTGACTAGAAACAAAACCAGCAGGACTCTAGAGTACACAGTGGGCCCAGTGAAAAATTTCTTATTATAACAACTTTCCAGAGGTGCAGTGTATCATACACTTTCTGTTTGGAAATTAACCTGCAAATCTGCATTGCTTAAATTCAAAGACTGAAGACAACAATCTATGCTTAAAATTGAGCAACAAATTTATCATAAAACTTACTTCTAAATAAAGTATTTTATTGTAACAACTGCATTGAGTGTATAGTGTAACAGTCAGTATTTAAAATACTTTAAGTTGGGTATTTTAAGTTATGGTATTTAAGTTAAATATTTGTTTAATTTTGTGCAAGTTCTTAGAAGATGTTATACTAACGTGTTTTCTTAAACACTTTTCTTTAATACATTTAGAATCAGAATAAATTACATTGTATCAGTATCAAATATCAAACTTTTTCCTTAGTATCAAAACTGAGTTTTAAATTCTAATATTGTGTCAAATTTATTACTAGCTTTACAAGTAGCAAACACATGTGTATCAGAAGAACAGGATCAGAGATAAAAGGGCAGCAGTGTTGGCAACACTATGAGAGGTTCTGGGAAAGAGCATGTACACTTAGTAGAGCTCCTGACAAGGGTCAAACCAGGGCTTCAAATGACACCTACAACACTATTCCTGAATACTACTATATGAGAGCAGGGCCTCCCCTAGTGTATGAAAGAAATGTGACTGTGAAAGTATTAATTACGAACTTTGTAAACAAGCAACATTAAACCTATAATACACATTAAAAATGAGAGCAGTGCGCATGACAGAAAGTGGGAGGAAAATATGTAAACATTCCCTTTGGTCTTGTATGGCAAAAAGAGTCAACTCAGATGGGAAGCCTCACTGGACCAGCAAATCCAGACCAAGATATTTTCATATATAAAGTGTGTATTTAGAGGATTTTTAGCTATTTGCTTTTGTTTTGCTTTTTGCTTTTTTTTTATGTTATCTTATGCTCATCCAAGCACCACACTGTGTTAGCCAGGCCTTTACATCACCACTGCTGGTAACCACAGAGAATGAGCCGTACAGCTAGGAACTTCCTGATGGCAACAGCCCTTCAATTCAGCCCTTTGTGTTCATTGATGCTCCAGATTAATGCCATTATACACAGATACACCCAACCAACAAGTGTACTGCTCACTGTGCAAAACATTCAACAGTCTAGAACAGTTAGGAAACAGGCAAGATACATATGGTTGTACTTGAGCAGAAGACAAATATTATCTATTTCAAATGGCTTTGTAAACTAAGAACCAGCAGATGGCAGTATTTAGACAAGAAATTTCACTCATGGAACACTTTACTGCATATAGTTTCTGTAAACGTTCTGTAAAAGTTTAATGATTTATTTAAATTAATTGTAATTTGTGTGATGTTAGTTCCTGTTGTAACATTACACTGGTATTGTTGGCCTCTCATACTTAGAATACAAGAGCTCCCACGTTTCAGACACTCCCTGCTGCTGTCCATTCTTTTGACAGAAGACTGTTTGGGTGGAACTTTTCCTGCACTGTGTTTGAATTAAAGGAACTGGCTAGCTGACAAATTACTCTTTCCTTTCTTCAGGGCATTCTCTTTGGGGCAATTTAAAAGTGTAATAAACAACAGGAACACACACTTCATCAGTACAAAGATAAGCTAAACCTACTTTTACAACAACAGGTAACAGGTAACAGGTTTCAAAGATGTGCCTACTCAACAACACGTGAGGCCACTGTAAAGTGTCCAATAAACAATACAATGGGATGTATTTTTTCTTAATTTTGTCTTTCTTTCAATTAGTAGTTTTCTGTTTATGAGCACAGATACAGCCAATTTTATCGTTCCCATGTTCTCTAACTAACTCAAAAACACAACACAAAAACAAGTACTTAAATCTAAATACTGAAATAGCTTAATTAACTCAATTGGTTGATTAATGTCATTTTAAGAGCACTGTTCCTCAAGAGATCAAAATGACCAATTTATGAAAAGCTACCCATGTCAACATCAGACAGTAGACATATTTAGTAAAGCTCAATCTGGTTTGGTGATTCAGCATGATAATGCTAATATGCTGCAACAGTCTTAACTCAAATAAATAAAATAATCTTTTATTGTCTCTGTCTCCCACAGAAGAAATTTGCCTGGGGACAGAGGGTCACATGCTTAACACAAAGAAAAGACAACACAGCAAAATAAATAAGCCCAAAGCCATCCCCATCCACCATAGACCCTAAGTAAGAGACGAAGTATGACCACGAGAGATACACCAGCAGGACCTTTAAGTCACTCTATACAGGCAAGCCCTTCAGAGTCTTATATTCTATTAATAATTACATACTCTCTAGGCCTATGTGCAGTTTTAATTGCACATTTCCTTAACTTATCTGCAGTTTTGATTGCACATTCCCTTTGCCTGTATGCAATCCTGTATATTATATATAAAAGCTATTTGTAATTCAGATGTTTGTTAAGCATCTTTAACTGTATCAACACGAGAGTCTGTTTGTTCACTGGAGACAGACTCACAGTGAGATGAGTGCCAGCGACAGAGTCCACTGGGATCTTCTCTTTCACTGTTTCTGCTTCAGAGCTGAGGTCCCCTGGAGCTAACGCTGACAGGAAGTGACTTTAAAAGGTCACTAACAGGGACCCTTTCTCACAGCTTCATAGCACCCCACCATAGAGTGTTTTCCAAAACCAATTACACTCACAAACTATTTAACCATTAATATTTAAAAGTATTTTTGCATACCATCTATTAAATCCATTATTATGTTCATTCAAGATTCAAGAACACAACAGAGTTATGTTCAGAGCATCAAACACTGCATAGTTTTAATATATATTATATTATAATTAGGGATGAGCATGATTAGTCGACTAATTGATAATTGATCATTAAGAATTTCGTCGATTACATTTGTTTCTAATTGACAAACCGAATGTAGATATGAAGCTGCGTCCGACAGCACAAACACTGGAGTTGCGGCCTCAATTCCCCGTTTGGGCTCTGGCTCCTTGAAGATCACTGTAGCACTCAGTGAGTGCGTTTACATGCACATCTGTATCCTGGTTTTGTCATGGTGCATGTATACGCTGTAGCCTGGTTACTGCAACATAAAGAGCTGCGCTAAACCTGCACACGTACAATCTTTGAAAATATCACGACACACACACAGAACTGACTCGCCTTCAGCATCCCTCTGTCACAGAAAGAACACATATATTCCACTGAGTTGTGTCCTTTAGTCCGACAGAAGCTGAACCGCATCAGCGCACAAGAGCGTTTTTTTTTTAAATGCAAATTAGCCATGCGGTTTTAAGTTTCGTTTCTACTTGTGCAAAGCTGCATTAAACACATTATAATCTCAAACAGGCTGATGTGGCTCTAGAGTGGTGATGGTTTATATGTTGTAAAGTTGAGTTTATTTATGCAGATTAGTAATAGTAATAATAATGATGATACTTATTATATAAAAACGTTGATGATTAAATCGAAAATCGATCGTTAATTCTCCCAACGATCGCTTAATAAAATTTCATCGAATGACCATCCCTAATTATAATATTTGCTATTTCTTAATGCTGCTAATGATCTAAATACAGATATAGACAAAATCTTTACCAGTGATGGTCTCGGCATCTCGGTGTGTAATGGGGCAGTCCTGGAGCACATCCTCCAGTCCTGCGTCACTGATGAACTCCTCCTCATGCCCTGGGGTGCTGTTCAGCTGAGGTCCAGGGCTGTAGAGTTGGGTTAGGTAAGAAGGGGGCGGGGCATAGGAACAGGTGTAAGGTGGCACCGTCCAGGAGGCCAGCTTGGCACTGTGCGGTTAAACATCCCGGACCATAAACAGCATTTTGACTATAACAAGAGAGGTCCTCCTCACACAGCCACAGTACAGAGGCCAGTCACAGCAAACCTGGGACAGACAGGAGAAAAGATTATTTTACAATAACAATCTAACCTGCTGATAAAACAACAAAAATGTCACCAGTACAGATATCAATAGTATTTGGTTAATCAATATTATTCAGGTGACAATATAATTGTAAGGACAAAAAATATATATTGTGAGACATTTGGAAGTAAATAGATCATTACAATTCAATCTATATTCCAAAATTGTAACCTTAAATGTAAAGTGTTTTCAGACTGGTTGTCACATAAACTTTACTTTATCATTCAAAAAAATTTTATTTCATGAAGTGGGTCACATACTAGGGGAGTGTTCATCTATTTTACAAAGTGACATCCAGGGATGTCAATTGTAATGTTACAATACTGTGACATGCCTAACTACCAAAAATCTAGCATTATTGCATACCAAATACATATAACATGTAAGCTTCCGGCACAGCTCTGAACAGGAACTTGTTCTATTAATAACCACTTCTGTACACATGCACAACTTAAACCAGAGTCCGTTTGAGATTTGCTTCATAGACTGGTTCCCCACATCCCTTTAATTCATTACATTACACTGTCAAAATTGTTGCCTTTTTCTTATGTTTGGGTATGTTTATTTAACCTAATCTTAGGCACGCTGAGTGAGCCCTTTGTGGGAAGAATTTAGGTCATACAGTTTCCATAGTGGAGGAGGACAGCACATCTGTAATGTCCAAACACTGTCGCCAATAGCAACCAAACAGTAAAAAATATATAAAAGAGATGAATAGAAGAGCTGTTTCACTTTTCTCTTAGAGGGACACCATCCAAACCTTAAATTAACCTATTACATTTTTCCACATAGTACATAGTTCCACATTTACTTAAAATCATTTTTAAAAGTAATAAAATAAAAGAATCAACATCAAAGCTCAAACACGAATTGTGGATGGGAATTTAACATAATTTTTATGATCATACTTCATTTTTTTTAAACATTTTATAACAAAGACAGTTGCTGTTTATCAACGCCATGGAGGAACTAAATGCAAGACCGATATTATTGAGGCTGGAAAGGCTGCACTAAAACAATATGTTTAGTCAGCTTATTAGCAAACACAACAGCTCCACCCAAACCTCTTTTCCACAATTAGGGTTAGCATCTGAGCCTATTGGCTTATGGAGAAGATGACAGGCATTTGTGATGCAAGTTCATAGTACCCTAATGGAATATAATATGCCCTAACAAGTTAATGCAATCTCAATATATTATTGCAGTTGTTAGGGAATTTATTTTGTGCACCACATAAACCCATTATGCAGACACACAACTGGCAGATGTTTTCAGCCATTGGGCCCAAGTGTCCTAAAAGCCTTTAGTCCATCTGCTGCAGACTACTCAAACAGTCAATACATGGATTAACAATACATGATTGTCCTGGTTTTAAAAGCTCAATGCTTTGTCCTTGCTTTAGGGAATTCTGCTGTATATGAATTTAACCATGTGCGTTTGTAGTAAAAAAAAAAAAAAAAACCCAAAATAAAACAGTAGAATAGCAAAAACATACAACAGTACTTGGACAAGTACTGAATAATATGCTGTAACACAATGACTCAGTTATGAGAATACTACTACAAACCTACATATTAGATCAATGATTTAATTAGGTTATTGAATGTTAACTTTTAATAAAATGTAAAACAATCCATGTATTTTTATGTTAAATATACTGATTAAATAATAAATAACAATTCATAACTTTTGAGTGTGCTTGATCAGTTTGAAATATAATAACAATAGCTTAGTAAATGCAAAATAGAAGGATTCTTAGGAGAATGACACAAATACATCCATAATCCTAGTGAAAATACAGTAACGATATAACTTGATCAAAAATGATATCAGAATGCATTTAAGTCGTACATTTGTATGTTATGTGTGTCCACTATCTGTGGTTGCTAAATGATCAATAACCGATCTCCTGTTTTAGTTAAAATTCAATCTTCCTCCAGATGTTTATTCAAAAGGGAACAGGCTAAGGTTACTAAACTTTTTAAACATCAACCCATTGCCTACAAATGAGTGAAAGAATTCCTTACAATTATTTTACAATTCCTTACAATTATTTTACATACCTGTCATGACTTCTGTTACTTTAGCTCTTGAACTGTATTATGGCCATCAATAAGCAAATGCACAGCAGTCTAAATGTATAATCTTTTTACAGCAAATGTAGACCCACTGAGCAGCTGGAAACCATAAAAACAACCTTTGACACTTTTTTTGTTGAAACATCCAAGGCCATTGTTTACCATAAAGATGTATGTGCCAGCGGGGAATAATACAACATACGTGCATGCAATTATTTTTAAGTATCACAAATAGTTAAAAGCTTTCGAAGTTAGTGGACTGCTTTTATGACACCTATGCTCTAGATCCTTGCAGCTTGGAATTTTGTTCAACATCATTTTACTGTGTTTTATGCAGGCGAGAAACAAGCAAGATAAGCGCAATCTCCCACTGGTTACTCAATCTATTACTGAAACTATCCAAATTTGGTTCTGTGGACATTTCTCAAGAGTGGCTGTGTAAAGAGGGAAGAAACCCAGGCAGTGAAACAGTGTCGAGACAAGAAATTGGAAAAGCAAAACAATACTGACTTCATGTTACACTGCAAGCAGGACAAAATCTGAATAAAAAGTTAGACACTACAATAATAACTAAAACAAACATGAAAAACTTGACTATACTAATACTACCAATACTAGTACAAACCTAAATATTAGATCAATGCTTTAATTAGGTTATAGGAATATTAACTTTTAATAAAATGTCAAACATTTCATGTACTTTTATACTGTTAAATATACTGATTAAATGATAAATAACAATTCACAACTTTTGAGTGTGCTTGATCACTCTGAAATATAATAACAACAGGTTATTAAAAGCAAAATACAAGGCATACATGTGACAAAGACTCACCCTGAAGAAGATGGTGCAATTGCCTGAAGCGGAGCGATCAGATTAATTCCGCTTTCTCCTTAGGGGGGTCGATGAAAAATACTCCAACTCAAATTTCACCTGTGTGCAGGGTCAGGGCAGCCGCCGAAGGTAAACTCTAAAAACTCTATAACTGTGAACACAGACAACCAGATTGGTAAAGTTTAATAATGTTGCAACTGTTCGTGCGGAACTTGTGGAGCACTTGTGTTTCATGTGAAGCGCTTCACTCAAACAAAGCCATGCTTAGGCAAGTTACACAACAAACTCTGATCCGGGAATTTATTTTCAAAATAAAGTCATTTTAAGTAGTCTTTCCTCTTCTGTGTAAGACAGGATTCCTGAATCATATAAATCGATAGCATTATATATTAGGCAAAGAATAACTAATTAATTTGATATGACCCTAGTGTTGGAGTATTTGTTTTATTATTTTTTGGAACGTTACCGGAAGTACTGTCAATACTTTAAAAAGAAAAAAAAAAAAAAAAAAAAATCTCTCAAAGTAACTTCGACGCGACGCTGTATACATTCATTAGTACGATAGTATTGTGTGCAGTTGTGTGTAAAAACTGACATAAATGAAGAGAAAGACAACAAACTTCCATGGACGTTGAACGCGCTGAACTCGTGCCCTTTTTGTTGCGCTTTTGTAGCCTAGCAACCACGGACTAGACCATTTAAGAAAGGGGTGGTTAAGTAGGTAAGATTTTTACACACATGTTTTTCTGCATATGCAAAGCTTTTACCTTTGAGTAGCCATACTGTTTAAAGTACACAATTATCCAAACGATTTAAAGTACAATTACACATATCTGTGTCTAGTCTTAATAATATCTTAATTTGTATTACCCCTATTATTGTAGGAATCATACACTCATTGCGCTTCCGGTAACAAACAGCGGGATGTAAAACGTGAAGTTGGTAAAAGTAGAGAAGTTGGTAGAGGTAAATTATTAAAACGTATATTGTAAATGTTTGCCTATGTGTTTTAGGTTTTCATAGTTTTGGTAAAACAATGCTACAGTTCTGTGTCGATGAGGTGTATGTAATTAACTGTTTACTAAGCAGCTTTACTTTGTATTAACGCTACAATTTAATAACACTCCTAATCCTAAAAACACTTTCTTTAACATTAGATGGAGAACTTCATTCTGTACGAGAAGCTGGGATCAGGCAGCCGGTCTGTTGTCCAAAAAGGAAGACTGAAGGGCAGCCTCAACTATGTGGCTATTGTGTGTTCTGACAAAATCAAAAGACCAGAGATCATCAATCATGTAACGTTACCCTTTCAACATATTTTTATCTTCAAAATATTTTTGGTTATGAAGTTATGCCCCTTTTTATCTTTTCTACATTAGGTCCGCCTTTGTCATGACTTTGAGCATCCCAATATTGTATCATTTTATGAGTGGTATGAAACCAGCAATCACCTATGGTTGGTGGTAGAGCTTTGTACAGGTTAGAGACTATTCTTTATATTTAACACACAAACACACACACACACATACATGTATAAACCATCGTCAATGCTCTAGGTGGCTCGTTGGAGTCTATTGTTACTCAAGATGGATATCTATCAGAAGATGTAGTCAGAAGTTTTGGGTGGGGTCTCGTTCAAGGACTGCGTTATATCCATGAAATGGGTGTGGTGGTGTCTGACCTGACACCAGCTAAGGTTTTTCAAAAATATTTTGATTGTCTTTTATTGGTATCTACTTTTTTGTTGTTGACTTTCCTTGTGTTTCTCAGATTCTGCTGGATAATAGTGGAATTTTAAAATTTAGTAATTTTTGCCACTCTAAGGCGGAGGGAGAGACCATGGAAGATTTTATGGCTTTGCTCTCTAGCCCTGAAATATCAGAACAGGGAGATGTCCTGGAGCAGCTGGACAGAATGAGAACTAACTTAAAAGGTCAGCTAAATTTGT